ACTAGCTAGCTACCATTATTAGTAAGCTCATGTGCACTTCACAAAAGTAGTCAAAGATAAAAAGTAAACACAAAATTGAGTTTCTAAGTGAAAGTATTTATTATTAAGTGGTAAAAAAAAAAACCCTGAAAAAAACAGAAAAAAACTGGTAGACAGCAGAATTCATGGTTCCATTTATCACAGCATGTCACTGTTGTTATGATGTTCCCTTTTTAAAATGCTGTGTTACTTTTACTGCAGATGTAATGGGACACACAACTTCTAAAAAATTGAACTTTTGTCTCGTCAGTCAACAGAGTATTTTCCCAAAAGTCTTTGTTATCATTAAGATGTCCTCTGCCAAAACTGAGACGAGCCTTAATGTTCCTTTTTTTTAGCAGTGGTTTTCGTTTTGGAACTCTTTATAACCTTGTCTAGACTAAGAAGAGAGAGCTCAATTACTTTGTTTCTCATTTGTTCCTAAATTTCCTTGAATCACAGCATGATAAAGTTTCTTCTTAATATTAATTGCAACGTATACTCATAATAGAGTTGATACACTAACCTCATGGTGTAAAGGGTTAAGAGGCATTAAGAGGTGAGTGTTGAAGGTAAATTGCTATGCACATAAACAACACAGTTTCAAATAGGAGAGTCTGCCTTGGCCTTGTTCCAGTCAACAAAGAATAGAGACTTTATTGTGTCGGTTGCACAATAAAGCTGACATCAGCATAGAAATAAAACATCTGTGGTAACAACTAGAGATGGCACGATACCACTTTTTTATGTCCGATACCGATATCATAAATTTGGATATCTGCCGATACCGATATGAATCCAATCTAGTGTGTGTTTTTAATCAATAAAACTGTTTTTAAATATCAGCATGACCATTTCAACAAAGATGTTATACTACTTCCAACTCCATCATGGGGAGTAGTGTGCAAACAAGGTTCAAAATTATGGTTACACAAACATGGACACATTCTCAGTGCTTTTGAATTCCAGAAGACCTGGGACAACCAAACTGTCGTGAAACACATCAAGGAAAGCTTTGGTGAACGCATTCCAGAGGATGTCAGGTAAAATACTATTGTTTATTGTTACTGTGTGTATTCATGTAATGACTTGTACTTAAAGATAATATACCAAAGTAAAGAAGTTTAAAATATTATTCATCATTATAAAAACATATGGACTATACCAGTAGAATTTAAAAGTCATAAAAGCATACACACAAACAGAACAGTATATAATAAAATATATAAAATAATATTTAAAATATTTAACTAATTAGCAATTGCTGTTGTCCCTATTTATTTTTTGTAGCCTTGAGTTTCTAATGGCTTGTGGCAATAAGCTGGTGTCTCCAAAGCTCCAAGATGGTCAGGAGCTGAATGGGATGCTGATCCTAAAAATGTTTTTAAAACCAAAGCCCTCTATGTAAGGCCATCAAGGACACTTTTAGTAAGTTCCTAAAAGAATGAAAAGTAATCTTGATTTGGGAAAAAACGTGTCAACAATTGGGCTTCTAGCAAAATAGAATATATTTATTTAAAACAAGTGTTTGGGAGCAATCAATATGGATATTTCTTATTTTAATCTTTTTAAGATAAGCTATAATTACTTGCTTTTGATATATGTTTTTGGTCTTTCTCTGTTGAAGAGTGAATCAGATAAAGACAAAGATCCTTCCC